ATCACCCCGTAAGCCAAATATCAGAAAACAGTTGATGGCTGTGGTCGAGATGTATTTGTTGGCAATCTCGTGGTATCGAAATAATACTGAGGTCGTGCCAAAGGAGTACAAGTGGAATTACTGAACAAACGTAAATTCGTGCAAGGCCACAATTAACGGAATAATGTATGTGCTTTGATACAGTCAAGCAAACAAGTACAGTAAAACAATCAGTGGTACAAGTGATTATAATAATAATTGTTTCCATTACGTTAACCGCGTTCTCTTGATAAAAGTAGGTCACTACAAGTTAAACATCTAGTGATCAGTCTTCCTACTCAAGAATATTTTCAGTACGATATAGTGATTTTGTTACTGTTCAGCATAACTTTAATGGCAACAGAAGTCCTGTTTTCAATAAAGTAAATTTGACTGAAATAACAATGTATATAATATAAGATTGTGAAATCTTTCTAAACGATTAATGAATGAGTATGATCGAACTTCTTTGAAACATACAATCACTAGACCAAGTCTTGGGTAAATCCAGAACAATTGAACCGATATATCTGAGAGCCACGAGTCTGGCTAGATACCGTATCTCAAGACGGGTGTGCAGGTGCTTGAATAAGATGTCCGTATTAAACATCAATTTCTGTCCATCATTTTAAATAGCTTGATCTCTGATCTATTCAAAACTGTTTCCGATACATGCCAAAAAATCATTCTAAAGGATCTCTACAAATGTTATTCATGCTGTAAAATTAATTTCTCGAGGCGACGGAACTGTTTTTTTTCATTATTTCGAAAGAATTAATGTTTACGTAGTTGAATTTTGCCGCTGTTTAACTTTGATGTATACAGTGTGCCCCGATGCCTTGGATGTCTCCTGAAAAATTCCTAAGATCCATATGTCGCTCTTGTTTTAAGTGTGTTACCTACGATTTATTTCATCCCTCGAGGTCGACAATGTAAATACAGTTTGTAGTAATGGTAGTGCACTTATCTTAAGTAGTCTACCACGATCACTTTTTCTATTGTTAAGTGACATTCTATCCCTTTAAATTCTATAAAAGCTAGTCAATAACCATATTTTTACGTTATTACTCCCTTCATTTCATTTTTTCATGTCAATCAAATTCCAAGTTATTGAGAATTGAAAAAGCTTTACGCGGATGTGTTGTTCGTGTGCGGCACATGCTAGAGATCAAGTGGTGAGAAAGACGATCAACCTGTCACATGTGAGTTCATTTCTTTCTTAAGTCCTAGAAAGCGAGGACTGTATTGAAAACGTATTATATATGGTGTCGGCGCGAAATTAGTACCGATTTTCTAGGAAAATCCTGTCTTATCATAAGTGATGGGATAGTCAGTCTCTCTATTTTGGGAAGAGTTCTGCACGTTTCAGGTAAATTTTGGACAAGCCGCAATTGAAAGCCTATGGTAAATAGCGCAAATGCTCCAGAAGCTCTCCAGCTCTAGGGAGAATCTCCAAAGTTTTGGGGAAATTTGCAAAATGTTTGATGAAATTTAGGGTTTTTCACAATAATTCCCCAGAATCTTATAACACTGGGGTTTTGCCCCAAACTTTGGAGAAAACTACCAAATTCCTTACAACTTTGAGGTGAACCACAGAGTATGGTGGTTGAGCCTGAACAAAGATCTGTCATCATGATTTCTGAGTAAATTTCGAAGTGAATTTGTCAATGTGTGACGAAGTATCACCGCAGGTTCATAGTCCACTCTTGCCGAACATAAACTCTTCTGGGCTCATATGTTCAGTTGGTCATCATGTGCTTATCCCGAATTAAGTATCTGTATGCATCTTTACTTTTTACCTACTTACTACCTTCAGGAGGTTGTTTAGCGAGACTCTAATTTAGGGACGAAACTCTGAACGAATCTTAAATGACCTCTGACCTCTAAAAATATCCCTTTCGCGTTGATCGGTCATAAATTCCAAATACCTGTCAAGTATATTTACGGAAATGCTACTTACCCATTCTTCCTTGATACTACGTCCTCTATTGTATTTTCGCTTTCTTACTACCGTTTCATCTATCTCCACAATGCATCCTACTCCTCCGAATGATTGACATAGACGTGTCATTTTACTTGCACATATGTTACGGCAGTACTCATACCACTGGACTGCTGAGGTTTCAGTAACATCTGCAAACGCCGCAGCCAGTGTCACTGGTGTCTTGATTACCCAATTTGCTACTATTATCATGATCTGCCTTAGTGTTAGTCGCGATCGAGCGAAGAAAGTCCCCGTTCGAGCATACTTTTTCCTCCAACATGAAGAACAACGAAACAATCTCACCACGGTGGTCTGCAAACTTTGCTGCAGTCATTTGATAGCCGCAGTCGCAAGTACAAGAACTTATTAATAGTCTCATCTGTTGTAGCCTCTTAATAATCACCTCTTCTCTAAAATCCGCTGTAAACCGATCGTATGTTAGCATCACGTGTTGAACTTGGCTCCATGACCTTGAATCTGCTCAAACACTGGTTGGTTCGTCCTTAAATTAGAGTCGCCGGTTGTTTAGTGTCGTAAAGAAAGTGAAGTTTTCCTCGAAGCCAACTTTCCAACGCGTGACTTTCTATGTTGTCTGATGTTCTAATTCCTAAAAGTCTTCAGATTATCATAACTTGCGGTTTTTATCAGTATTCAGTTTACATATTTAGAACCGTTATTGTTCATTCACGTATAACTTATGAAGTATGTTTTTGATTCAGTTTATCGAGGTTTTTAATAGAGCTGAAAATCAACTTATTTATTGGAAGTAAATTCTCAGCAAACTAGTATTTATAAGTTATTAGTTCGATTTTATTGTGTATGGGAATCAATGTAGATGCAACCTCTAATATATGGTAAATCCGTATCAATTGCCTTAGGTAGTTATAATAGTTCTAGATGCATTAAAACCGATTTAACTAGTTTTTCATGTCCTATCAGTTGACCATCTATTTATTTACTTATTTAAACACATAAACATTAGTACAAGGAGACATCAAATACATGTGCGCCACATAAATCACTCGATATATGTGAGGGCTGGGATACTGCCCTGGTGCCCAAAACAGGTGGTTTTCTTAGAGGGCCCCACATCACAAACCTTTGACCTAATGATCTAATCTACAAGGCGTTGGAGCGACGTTAGGAGATGCAGTCCCGTGGTAGCCAGTGACCAACAATTGGTTCATACATTTTTTTTGTTCCTTTAGGATTCTGGAGTCCATATGTATTCTTAATAAGGTAAAGTAGCCAATGAAGTTAAACCTTCCACCCTCATATTAGTAGGATAAAAAACAGTTTGACACTTTAGTTGTATTTTCTAAATGGTTCCCCGTTTTTTAAGGTGAGATGGGCTCGAACCGAGCAGCTAGCATCTTCCAACAGAGCTTGGATTCATAGTCAACGATCTCATGAACTGATGTCACGCCTTGGTTTAGTCTCACCTAGACTTACTATTAGACCAGCCAACGCTACTTGTCGAGATAGGGGCTGGTAGAATATATGTCCTGACCACCTCAATCAATAAAGATACATAACTTTAACCGATTCAAGGTATTCGGTTGGTACGCTGTCCCTAACTTGAGGATTATTCACTCAGTCGCTTCGTGATGCTAGAGGAGTGCTTTAGAGATACGTGTAATCAATAACTTGCAGCTTATACAAGTCCTCTACTTTCATGGAGTAACGCAGAGAGGATCGCTGCTCAGTTGACTCGCTCTTTAGTCAGAAAACGGGAATCTCACCTTCCCTGCTAGATACCGAAGGGCAATAGAACTGTAAATCCATGACGCCAACTCACCGGGACTGATATAACTTCCTTGCATTTGACTATAAGGTGACAATCTAGTCCCATTCAGTCTTCCATCTATACACCATCGTCATTCAGTCAGTCATAACCTAGAACTTGGTACGTATGTATATCACTTCAATCTACCATACCCCATTAGCACAAAGATTAAATTGTTAAACCAAATCTCAGAATAGTAGAGGTAATACTGGTATGGGTAGAGATTGAAAGGATTAGGAATCGAAGATACAATTCAAGAAAATGTAAGTTAGTGCAATAAAAACAAAATAGTTGTAAGGGATTCAGAAGCTTAATACTTGGAGGAAGACGAAAAATAAATTCACATGCGTCCTGACAAACGATTTTGAGCCATAGCATCCAAAGTTTAACCATTGGTTACGATAATCACGTGAACTCCAGCAAGGTAGTTTACACTTGTTAACATAACTCAGTCCAGTTACCAATGTCTTCATGAACTGGTGTCATGTCTTGGTTTGGTCGTCCCCTAGCTTTCTCTCTGACTACTTCTACATCAGCCCCCAAATGCCCTGATATGGCCGAGAGTGGGGTGGGCCCGCCCTCCCTCGAAGTGCTCTCACACGTCCACGCGTATACAGCCTCTGCCAGGGAAGTCCTACTCAGTGTTCTCGTGCAGAGGGTGTAGTTTACGAAATTGAGAGGACGAAAAGCGAATGTCCGGCGCTTTAACCGGATCCCAAACCAATGGTGCACACGGGTTCCAGTATCCTGAAGGAACAAATGGCGTATAAACCTGCTGTTGACCACTAGTTACCATGAGACTGCATCTCCTTACGTTGATTCACTGTCCTATGGGTTGAACCTTTAGGTCAAAGGCTCGGGGTGTGGCCCCCTAATAAAACCACCTGCTTTGATCTGGGCACCCGGACAGTATCACAGCCCATACACAAATAAAGTGTGGCAAATATATATTTGGTGCCCTCTTGTACCAATATTTATGTGTTCAAATAAATAAATAATAAATAAAAACTCGTCAAGGTGGGCTGTGAGAGGGCATGCGTAACACATCCCAACCACCTCAGTTGATGAGAATTTACCACCCTGTAAATCTATTTACCATCGTTACTTGGTAGTCCAATAATACACAAACAATGTTTCGAAGACACCCATGATCGAATACCAGTAACCTTCGAATATCCTCTATTCTTAATAGCCATGTTTCACATCTATAAAGTAGAATGGAGTGAACTGCTGCGCAGTAAACTTCCTTTGATTGGCATACAAATATCTCACCTACACCACAAATGACTCAAATTGGTAAAAGCCAATCCATCCTTCTAAATCCGTGCAGAAATTTCGTCAGACACCAGACCACTAGGACTGATGAGACTTAAGGTGGTTGAAGTAGTCGACACGCTCAACTACTTCACCTATCAATAATTTAGGCACTGACCCAGACCAATCCTAAATGAACATTTCGCAGTTGAGGGGAGAAAACTGCATCCCAAACATGCCTGCATTATTGCTTAAGTTGGTCAGAAGACTGCGTTTTGTCAGCGTCTTCAAACGGAATTATACTACCGTAAAGTGTAGCGACCTGGATCTTTATATCCTTTGTTCTGTCGTACGATGTTATGTTTTTATTGCATTAGTACAGACACCTAACAATAATCACTGAGACCTGATTCCCGTTTAAAGTTCTAAAATGCAACCTGCTTAAGGAAGTCATACTTTGAAACAAAAAGTGGCCCACTCTTCTATGATTTTCTATTAAATGCTTTTCTTGATGGAAATTGTCATTAAAATTTTGGGTTACTTAAATTTTATCGCGATATACTCTAACTTGTTTTTTGTTCATAGGTCCGTTATCCTAGATGATTTTTACACACGAGGTAGCTGTGACTCCAATTTTATCAAAGATATCAATTCAAAAATGAGAGTTCCTGATAGAATATCATTAGATCCAAGTAGTTTACCGCAGGTGAATTTATCGCTCGATTCTTCTGAGAATGACAATATGAAAGTGCCAGAAAGGATAGTCATGTCTGGTGCACAGAATCAATCATCTCCACTTATGGCATTCAACCGACGTGGAGGTAGGTATCAAATATGCTTGCTACATTTTCTTTGCTACCGTATATGTATATAATCCATTCAAAAGCACAATGTATTATTCTTTACTGTTAATAAAGGCATCGAAAGGTTAGTTAGTAAGAATTTTCACCTCTCCACTGTTCCATTCAAGCAGTGGGATTAGACAGGGTTGCCAAATCTCACCATTCCTCTTCAACTTTGCCATCGATGACATACTGGAAACATCTCTGATGAATGTAAGCAGTGGTGGTGTGGAACTGTTGCCTGGAGAAAGGCTTCTCGACCTTGAGTATGCGGACGATATTGTCTATCTGTGCGATGATGCTCAAGCCATGCAATCCTCACTTAATCAGTTGGCAATCAATGTCCGTAGGTATGGTATGTGCTTTGCACCTTCGAAGTGCAAAGTACTTCTACAAGACTGGCAGGGTTCTAATCCTGTATCCACCCTGGATGGTGAGCAGATAGAAGTAGTCGAGAAGGTCGTGTATCTAGGTAGCTCGATAAGTGCTGGTGGTGGCGTGAGCGATGAGATCGATCCACGTATAGTGAAAACCAGAGCGGCTTATGCCAATCTGGGTCACCTTTGGCGCCTTCGTGATGCTAGTCTGGTTGTAAAAGGGTCGGATCTACAACGCGTCGGTGAGAGCAGTTTTGCTCTATGTTTGTGAAACCTGGTCTCTCCGAGTTGAGGACGTTAGACAACTCTCTGTGTTTGATCACCGTTGTCTCCGAAGGATTGCTGATATCGAGTGGCAACACCATGTTATTAAAGCAGAGGTTCGACATCGTGTGTCCGGGCACAGAGATGATAATTCAATAGGTGTCACCATCTTGAAACACCGACTTCAGTGGCTTAGACATGTTCTACGAATGTCGTCCCGGAGAATTCTACGCGCTCTTGGCCATACCAGGGCATTTGGGGGCCAAAACATACATAAATTTCCTGAAAGTTATTTTCTCCGAAGAGTCAGGTAAACTATCATCTAAACTATTCTGTTTGACGAATTCTAAACTATTGATATGAGATATAGGATAAAAAGTCAAAATTAGATTTATTTACTCATTATGATTCTTGCCCTACATTATTTCCATTTTCTAATTCAATGTAATGATTACTCAATCTTGTTATCGTTTCTGTTTAACATACAATATTTTTGTATTAACAATTAACATGAACTATACTCAGCAAGTGATTTTTTATATCCCCCCGCACTAAGTATTTTTCATATATTTGTGATTTTATTCTGATTATTAATCAAAAATGAATGTATGAATCAATATATAAACGAGTCTATTTTCCATTAGACTTGTTGTCGTGGTGATTGTTCGTGCTTCTCGACGTGCAATTGCTAACCGGTGTAGTGGATGGTTGGAAGAAAGTTAGGGGCGACCAAATCAAAACGTGGTATCAGTGCTTGAAGTCACTAACTTCTAGTTTGATCCATGTTGGTAGATGCAGACTACTTGGTTGGGGTCCGCGTGACTATCGTAACCAATGGTTAGAGACTTTGGGTGACATGGCGTCGGTGTATACACTCTCTGTTTTCCCTTAAACTAAGAGATTAAAATCACTTCATATCTTTCTTTCTTCCTGTACTATATCCTTATATGCAATCTTTCTTTTATATATTACCACCTCTGAATTAACTACTTTTATGAATCCGGTGTTCATCTTGTTGTGCTAATGCGATATGGCAACTTGGACCGATGCATATATGTGCCTGGTCCTATGTTGTAGCTGATTGACTGTTCGTGCTTCTGGCTGTTAGTGGAATGAATATATTTCCCTCTTCCGAACTTGGACTTCTCTGTCTCTCTAGTTAACTGGGCTGGGAGGCATCGAAATAACTAGCTTATCTGTCATTGTGTTATAAAGTCTTCGTTTGTTCTCATAATACTCTTCTAAACGTCTTGAATAATAATTCAAGAGTGTTTGTGTTGTGTCCCTCTCTCCAAATTTTGTTTTAAAATTTCCTTAAGGGGATTTCTAGTTTCATTATAGAAATCGAATTAGTCGAAAATGTAGACCACTTTACTAATTTTGAAAATCACATAAGACTGGACGTCCTAACAGCTGACATAAATACAAAAAAGCGTTTGGTTTTCTACATTGCGTTGTGTAAGTAAGATGTCCACTTTCTAATCACAGGGTGGGTATACTACGTCTCAGTCCTCTCCGTGTTACTGTACGGCTATGAAACAGCCTATTAAACTATAAAATACATTAGTTTTGAACATTTGATCATAGGTGATACCATAGACAATGTATGGGGGTCAAGCTTAGGGTTTTTAGTAGAAACGGTGAGTTGACTAACTAGGCCATAGATGTCCATTGACTTAGATGGTTTGAATGTGTGTTATGATAGCCCAGCAGTCACCTACCTTGGTATGCGATACTACCTAGTTTAGAATCAGTTTAGAATAAGACTTTAAGGATCCAAATCAAGACATCACGGCATCCATACATGAAGTTACCGACTGCTGAGGAGCCGTAGGTTTTGTAACTGAATCATACCCAGTAGTCATCTGGGATTGGGGGACATCGTTGAATGCCTATTTGTTTATTTAAATAATAATAATGATAATAATAATAATAATAATAATAATAATGATAATAATAATCTGGACCTATAACAATATCTACTCTATGGCAACTTGTGTGAATCATTTTTTTGTTTTGGTGTAACCAACATTGCCACCATCGATGATAAATCCATATGCTTCACTATATGACTTATTATTTTTGACTTTTTAAATTTGCTTTTTTTTTCTTACAGATGATCTTATCGATAATTTAGATCCTGTTCCACTTCAACATGCTTTAGATCCATTGCCTACTTCTTTAGTGTTAAATGAAGTTCATTATCCAGATCTAGAACGATTAACTATTGAGAAGAGAGAAATAGAAACAGCCATCTCAACTCCACTATTATTAACAAACGAATCTCAGTAAGAATAATTAGTTATTTTTGTATGTTTTTTTTTGATAATTCGTTTCAAAAAGAAACAATAACTATTCAGATACTCTTGTCTTCAGTCAGTCAGTAACAATGTAGAACTTCGTACGTACGTATATCAGTTCGAATTGCTATACCACATTAGCACAGAGATGCAGTTATCGATTCAAATCCCGTAGTGGTAGAAGTAGTAAGAGTATAAGCAGTAGTCGGAAGGATTTGGGTTTGGAGATGTTATTTAAAGAGTATAATTCAGTGAAATAAATTTGGAAAGAGGAAAGAAGGGACATGAAAGATTCAGAAGATTAGAATTTCGGAGAACACAAAGAGTGTATGCACCTGAGCCATTGCAAACGATTTTGAGCCATGTCATTCAAGATCTCTAACCGTCGGTTGCTATCGTCTCGCTGATCCCAATCAGGTAGTCTACACCTACCAACATGACTCAATCCACTTGTCGGTGACTTCATGGATTTGTGCCATGTTTTGGTATGGTCACCCCTAGCTTCTTCCAACCTACTCCTATACCATTGAGCATCGCACGTCAAGTCAGTCGGTGGTTGGGAATACGTAACACGTGTCCCAGCCATCTCAACTGATGAAGCTTCATTACTCTTGTCTTAGTTCTTAAAATAATTTCCTTCCCCATAGTTTACATATTTAGAGTTGTAACTTGGTGATTAAAATATTTGACTTCTCCGTAACTGGTCTGAGCTATACTACACCTTGTGTTTATTCAGTTTTGCAATAGTGGAATTATCCTTTCATATACGAGAAATTGAGACTCAAATTCAACTACATAACAAATATGTGGTTTCTAAATGATTTACATCAATTTACGGCTAATTTGTAACATTGAGTGATAGCTCTTCAATGTTGAGGCTGCATACGTTTTATTTATTTATTTATTTAAACACATAAACGTTGGTACAAGGAGTCACCAAACAGATATGCGCCACATAAATCGTCCGATTTATGTGAGGGTTGAGATACTGCCCGCGTGCCCAAAACCGAAGCAGATGGTTTTACTAGTGGGTCACACCCCGAGCCTTTGACGTGAATGTCTAAAGTACAAGGCAGCGGAGCAACGTGAGGTGATGTTGTCCCATGGTAGCTGGTGACCAATGATTGGTTCATACGTCATTTGTTTCCTTAGGATTCTGGAGCCCTTGTTCACCATTGATTTGGAATCAGGGTTTTCGAACTCTCATATGTGGATCTTTCATATCCACCAACTCGTTTAAAGCATCAGACCTTCTTTTTTTGTTCCCAATTTCGTAAACAACACTCGTGCCACGAGAAGGCAATGAGTAGGACTTCTATGTCAGTGGTTGTATGCACATGGCCACTTGAGAACATTTCGAAAGGGAGAGCTGACTCTCTTCACTCTCAGCCATACCAGGGGGGGGCATACGTTTTAATGCGATATATATATTTTATTTGTTGCTTTGTATATATGGTAATGTGATAAGTACTATTTGTATTTTATTTCATTTTCAAAACAAAACAAAATAAAGGAATCATATCCCAACAGAACAACAGCCTTCTCCACTTCCTTTATCGAATATCTCAAATGTTATAAATCATTCATCTACATCGATATCATCATCACCATCATCATCACCAACGAATCAAACAAATAATACTCAATCTATTGTTGTAGATACACGACGTCTTAGATTATTAGAGATTCGTATGAATGAAATAGAACTTGAATTATCTAGACGTCAATTCATGGATAAATTACTTTATATCACCTTTGGAGGTTATTTTGTTTTAAAATGTTTACGCTTATTATTCTCTTAGACTGTCCTTCTTCTTCTTCTTCTTCTTCTTCTTGTTTGTCATTAGATGTAGTCAAGGCCTATTCTGTTGTGGGTTTTGTTTTTTCTCTCTTTGTTTTTCTTCTACTGTTATTACTACTTTCATCAATGACTCAATTCAGTAGTATTAGTAGGTTTTGATAAATAATGAATGTAAAATTGTACAGTTCATTTAATGACAATGATGTATCATTATGTAACAAGCATTCAGATGATTGATATTGATTATTAATTTTTTTTTGGTTTCTAAACAACATTTTGTATGGCAACTAAAAATGTAACTGAATTAAATCATCCTCATTTCAATTGTATACTACTTAATCCTATGAAAATATGATCATAATTCTTTGTATTGAGATGTATCTTCAGTTTATGATAGCTATGAGTTGTATTTGATTTCGCTTAGTGTTTCTATGCTCCACCCCCCCCCCAAAAAAAACGGATGAAGCAGGAGGAGGAGGAGGAGAGTTGGACATAGATTTGTTAACCCAACCTTGTAATAAAGAACCTCACTAAAAAAGAACACTAATAAGTTGTATTTATATTTCAGTTAATAAGGTTGTTCAAGATATTCTGTAATACAACTAACTGATTTCATTGTTTTATCTTATCTGAAGAGAATCAAAGCAACAGCAGTGAGTGACTTAGTAAAGTGTAATATGTCTATAAATTCCTCCTATAACAGTTGAACGGAAGAAGGTGTCTTTCTTTTTTAAATTATATGGTTGGAATTGAATGTCAGTTTTTTTATCGACACTGAATTCTTCATAGTAAAATTTACGGGAATGCGACTTCATATCATACTCCAATATAGTAGTCATTTGAAATGAACAAAATTCAAAACAGATGGGATATTTATTCATTGGTTTAAAGATGCTTTGAAAAAGGCTTGATGTAACTTATGTACATTCAAACCTCCACCTCACAATTTCGTGGATTTATTGTCGACCGCGGGGTGGCTACTCTAATTTTTACCGACTGATCAACTTCAGATATCCCAGTACGACCCCAATACAGTTCCCCAATCTCCAACATATCAAAACACGAACTGTAGATGAAATTGTTTATGGGGTCAGAAGAAGAATAGGAGTAGGAATAATACTTTACAGACAAATGCATATTTATACAGTTAGGACTACCGTGAATATTGACCAACAGGAAAATGACACGAAATAATTATTGACCAGTAGGGAGACGAAATGTGAAATAAATATTGACCAATAGGGAAATGACACCATTTCACGTTCAAGGATAGGATTAGACTTAACAAGATATTTTTAGGATATTTTTCTGAATATTCCAACAGGATTGTTTGAGGTTAGACATCAACACCATCGGATGCCGGCTTAGTGGCCCAGTAGGTTAAGCGTCCGCGCACGAGAATGAAGGCTTTGGGTTTGAATCCCGCGAGCGGGATCGTGGATGCACACTGTTGAAGAATGAAACGGCCATCCAGTGCTTCAGGTTTTCAATGGTGGTCTAACGTCAATCGGTTCATAAGCTCAATCAAAAAAATAAAAATATTAACAATAATATATCACGAGAATAGGTTTTTATTGGATCTTCACTTGAGCTACTTATGAGTAGGAATAAGACTTCTCAGAAAATATCTACTTAGTAAATGTTGTTGTTTGAAGATTAGATTGTAGATATGTGTAGGGTTTTCATCTTTGAATAAGTTAAGAACGAGAAATCAAAGGTTTGATAACAAGGAGATTATTATTTCAGAAGTAATTTCTACTATTTGGAAGGAAATTTCAAGAACGATTTGATTTGAAAAGTAATTCCTGAAGTGAGAAGCCATAACCAAAGACGTTGAACTGTTCCACGAATAAGTTAGTTACACATTAATGGCATATAAAGATGGTTGTGGAATATCACGAATTGGTTGAAACTAGAGATGTAAACCGTCGGATATTGATTCAGTGAGCTGAATGTTAAGAGTTCTTTGTGTGACCTGATGGTTCTTGAGTTTGATTCCAGATGGAGTCATGTATACACACTTCCGAGTCCATATGCTAGGATAAGATATCTATCCATTAGTTCCTGGTTTTCATTAGTTGTCTAATTGGAGTTAGTTCGTGATTGGATTTACGTTATTTCAGCATATGGATCGTACATTTTCATTGATTGAAATTAGAATAAATATGGTCTACTGTGATTTCTATTCACTGGTTTTAGAGGTATTATACTGTTTGTGAAATGAAAACTTCATTGCTTCAAAGTGATATGGTGTCGTGGTTGCACACATTATTAGAAATATAGAAACAAGTGAATCAGCTACCAATCACTTCGTGATTTTCAAGTTGATATCAGTCCATAGTATAGAATTCTTATAATAATTCACAATAATAAAAACTTATCATTTCTATACATAGCTTAATACATGTTCATATAAAAACTGCTTATTCTGTTGGGGGCACAAACTGATACATCATAGGACCAGGCACATATATGCATCGATCCAAGTTGCTATACATCACCACATTAGCACAACAAGATGAACGCCGGATCCATAGAAGAAGTTAGTTCAATGGTGGTAGTACATATAAAAGAAGGATTGCATATAAGGAAGAAACAATTAGTTCATAGAAAGAAAGATATGAAGTGATTTTAATCTCATAGTTTATTATTTATTATTATTTATTTAAACACATAAACATTGGTACAAGAGGGCACCAAATACATATGGGCCATATAAATCATTCGATTTGTGTGAGGGCTGGGATACTGTCTGGGTGCCCAGACCGAAGCGGGTGGTTTTCTTAGGGGGCCACACCCCGAGCCTTGGACCTAAAGGTCTGATCTACAAGGGAATGGAGATGCAGTCCCATGGTAGCCGGTTACCAATGATTGGTTCATACGTCATTTGTTTCCTTAGGATTCTGGAGCCCATGTTCACCATTGATTTGGAATCAGGGTTTTCGAACTCTCATATGTAGATCTTTCATATCCACCAACTCGTTTAAAGCATCAGACCTTCTTTTTTTGTTCCCAATTTCGTAAACAACACTCGTGCCACGAGAAGGCAATGAGTAGGACTTCCCTGGCAGAGGCTGTATACGCGTGGCCATGTGAGAGCATTTCGAGAGGGAGAGCGGGCCCACCCTACTCTCAGCCATACCAGGGCATTTGTGGGCAGTGAGTGTATACACCAACACGATTGTGATCAATTCTGATCCATGTCACCCAAAGTCTCCAACCATTGATTACAATGGTCAAATGGACCCCAACCAAATGTATTCTGTATATTTAATCTAAATAGATATTGTGAAACCAGTAGGTATCATAAATAGCACAATAGTTAAACTACATAGTTACAATGACTAATTACAAATTCCAACATAGTTTTGTAACCTATTTCTTATTCATTTTCTTTTGTAAGACAAACATTACTCTAGTTTAAACTAATTAAACAACACAATATCAATGATAATGTTTAGGTCAAGTATTATATATTACGATGCTCATCTGGTTGAAATTTTTTTTAGCGAGTTAGTTTTCTACAGGATGTGGTTGCTAACCCTAATACCCAACCGTTTTTCTTTATCCAGGCTTGGGACCAGCAGTAACCTCAGAGGGACTTTAGGTATAGTTAAGTACCTTTACACTACCTACATGAAAATATTGATTCGGTATATTTTTAAGAAATTTGAATACATACAGTAATCGATGTTTTATACATCGATTTTATTTTCTTAAAATAGAAACCTTTTTCTATTTCTCTATTATAATCTATAAAAAAGAAACAACAAATTAGGATAGTTCTAGTAGTGAAAGACTACTGTTTAAGTAGTATTAGTATGCCGCCGAATGCCCTGGTATGGCTGAGAGTGGGGTGGACCCTCCCTCCCTCTGGAAATGCTCTCACATGGCCACGCGTATACAGCCTCTTCCAGGGAAGTCCTACTCAATGTCTTTTCGTGGCGGGATTGCTGTCTACGAAAATGAGAGGACGAAAAGCGAATGTCCGACAATCTAACCGGATTCCAAACCAATGGTGCACATGGGCTCCAGTATCCTAGGGGAACAAATGGCGTATGAACCAATTGTTGGTCGCCGGCTACCATGGGACTGCATCTCCTCACGATGCTCCACCACCTTGTGGGTCAAACCTTTAGGTCAAAGGCTCGGGGTGTGGTCCCCTAAGATAACCACTGGCTTCGGTCTAGGCACCCGGGCAATATCACAGACCACACACACACAAATATGGTGTGGCGCATATGTTATTTGGTGCCCTCTTGTACCAATATTTATGTGTTCAAATAAATAAATCAATAAGTAGTATATGACATATGAGATAAATTCACATATTTTTCTGACCTTTTCTTCCAAGTCCTAGAATTTCTAGTAGATATTGGATACATTTGATGATCTGTATTGATTCCTCGTTGAAAATGTCTTGATTTTGTTACAGATACTGAAGCTTTTCTCTTTGCTCCTGTATCTTTTTTTTCTCTCCCATCAAGTATCTACCTTGGATTTAATGAAATACATGTACAGTTACATGGATACATACACATATATACACAAACACTGATAAATTAGAGATATTTTTTATCTTTCAGATAGACTTATGTTCTTATTGAATGAATGATGAACTGATATGTTGTTTGATCATGAGAAAGATACATCATTTGGACAATAGTGTTGGAGTGATCCAGAAGATTTCTTGCAAAAGACAAGCAAGCATCAGAAGACACTAAGAAACGTTTCATCCAATCAGCGTTCACTTGAAGTTTTTGTCAAAAATATCAAGGAAGTGGAACGTCACATGTAGAGGTTCTGATTGGCTGATTGCTGCACTGCTACTATGTTTAGTAGCATTCCAGAAAGTTCTAGCAACCCAAGAACGACATTTAAAATATTATAAAAACCCTATATTTTCTGTATTGAAATGAACTTTGGAGTAAAGGACTTCTCGCGTTTTTTGAGTCTTCTCTCTCGTTGTTCAGGTCGCTGTATAGTTCTAGCTTGGGGGTT